GACTCACTGGTATACAACAACAACATTGGCTTTGAAGCAAATCTCAGAATGTTTGAGGATAGTGAAATGATATGGAATGCAACTAAATTATAAATAAATAAATAAATAAATAAAGCTAAATGCAACTATAATTAAATTAGAAGTCAATAATATAAGCTATCTAATTACACAAAATTATTTGAAAATTAAAGAACAAAAAATTTTTAGCACAACAAATTGCAATAGAAAGTAAATAATAATTTTACAAAAAAAGAATGCAAATGTAACAATCAAAATATTCAAAGAAATATTTATAGCTTTAAATATGTTGGTTAATATACCAGTAAAGGAGAATGTATTAGTAATGAAAATATAATCATGAAGAATATGCTATTAAGGTCACTTACTCATTGCTGTTTGCTCATAAGAATTGATTTATTGCTGATCCCACAGGCAGTTTCCAAGGCTGTAAACTGCAAAGGAGGAGATAAACCATCTCTGCCAAAAAAACAGTTGGTGGATCCAAACCACCAAAGACAGTGGAATTTATGAGTTAATATATATCATAAAACCATAAAGAGAAGAGTAACCTCATAGGACATAGAAAAGCATAAATCAATGAAATTTTACATTTACTAAATGTGGAATAAAGAAATGAAAATTTTCCTTCTTTGAAAAGTTCATAAACTTGGGAAGCTATTAGTAGATTGATCAAGAAGGAGTGAGTTGGGAGCTATAGAACATGCTAAACCCAGAGTTCTCTTTATCTCTTCACCACTCACTATTATTTTCCACACTAGGGTGTGTTTAGGTGACAGTAGTTAAGCGAACTGATACACAGTGGCAATTCAGCAAAACAAGTGAAAAAGATTTATTCAAACAATAACACAGAGGTAAAGCTAGTGAAATATAGGTCATGCAAAAGAGTTGGGGAAAAGAAAGAAAAAGGAAAAGAGGAAAAGGATCCCCAGAAAGACAGGGATGTGGCAGACATGCTGTGAAAAAAAAGAAAAGAAAAATAGAGTGAAGCCCAGGTAGGCACTGTCTTTATTGGCTTTCAATCTTGTGAAATTTATTCATAGGCTAGCCCCACCTAACGATTTGTGTGATTGGTGTGGAGGGAGCTACCTCCTCATGTAACCAACCACTTTTTGGCTTCTGCTGAAAATATTATCATGGTGACACGGAAATAACATTCATTTCCTAGGAGATGTTAGTCCTCTTCTACGAGTTAGAAAGAGCAGGTAGCACTTCTGGCCCATAACAAACTAGACCCATAGGAAATAAAAAAGCATAAATCATTGACATTTTAAATTTACTAAAAGTAGAAAAAAACATAATTGAAAATTTTCTTCTTTGAAAAGTTCATGAACTTGATAAGCCATAAGTAGATTGATTTTAGATTGATCAAGAAGAGAAAGTGAAGTTGAAGCCCATACCAAGATTAGGGATATAAAAATGCCTGTCAATAGATTTTAAACACAGTAATAGATCATTATAAGTAATTTAATGGGTGAAGTCTACAACATTGCTGATAGCTGACACTGCGCTAACTAGTACTCAATGAACAACAGTTTGAAAATTGACCTGATCCTGAGCTATCCTCACAGTGTCCACCGTGCTCACTCCCCTTGTAGCAGTCCTTGTGTCATCCTATCTTGTTGAGGGTCTTCTTCTCTTTTGCTGACCCATTACGTTTCCAAACATGATGTCCTTTTCTAAAGATTGGTGCCTCCTGATATGACATGTCCAAAGTGCATTAGAGAAAGATTCACTTACTCTTGCCTTTAAAAGAGCACTCTGGTTATATTTTTTCTAAGATAAAAAAGCAGTGGGAATTAAAAAATGTGCGAAAAGCAAAGCCTTTAAAAATGTACATGCGAATGATAAAAATCAAATGTTTCTGTAATATTTGGAGATATTAGACTTATATATTTATCACAAAATATTCTTTGCCCATATAGCTTTACTAATGTGGAACAAATAATACCAAACATTTAAAAGGTATTCAGAAGAGAGAAAAGAGGGAGAACTTTCTTAATGTTTTAACAGGAACCAAAACTTGATAGAGAAAGCACTAGTTAGAAAATAAAAATATTACAGACAAATATGTTTTAAACCTACGGATGCAAAACCTCTAAACTAAAAAGTGTTTATTTAGTTATGTTAGAATACTTAGAATATCACAACCCTTTAACAGTAGTGAACTAGCAATATATAGAATATTATGATAAAGAGAAGTTTATCTGAGGAATATAGGCTTGGTTAAGTATTTAAAAACGTCCTATATTAATAAGATAAAAGGAGAATATTTGTCAGATTTTATCAGTAGAGAAATAATTGATATAATTAACACTCATATTTAACACCTCTTTCAATTTTAAATGAAAAGGATCTTCACAAGTCTGTAAAAGAGGTCTAGTAAAAATCCTGCAGCTGATAGTTTTAGCAACTATAAAGGATTGCCCAAAACAAATGAGTATAAAGTGTTCAAAAATGCTTCAGTGGAGCAATGGGAGTAATTTTAAAGTTTAAAGATAGCACTCTGGTTAAGTAAGGCATTTATTTGACTGTTAATCAAAAATGTCAGTGTTTCAAACCTACCAGGAGGAGAATAGAGTCTGATTTCATAAAGATTTACATTCTTTACATATTGCAGAACATAAAGGACAACAGTACTTCATCCTACAGGATAATGCACTCTGTCCCCGAAAATAGGTATTAATTAGTATTTATTCAATAACAGTGGGTTTTACAGGTTATTAGCATCCATATCAAAGCAGTAAGCCTGATTTATTCCATTTGTCTTTAATTTTGTGGTTAGTTAACTCAATTACCAATATAGAAAATACTGAAAGTATTAAATATGACCCATCATGTTGACTTTTCTAAAACCAGCCTTATTGTTATTGTGTGTTGTGAGGTCAAAACCGATTCATAGCTCACCCTCCACCAGGTTTTCAGAGACAGTAAAATCATACTGGCCCATCCTTCTCCATGGAGCAGCTTGTAGATTTGAAGCACACACTTTTGGGATTGTAGTACAGTTTCATACTACTAGACCACCAGAGCTCCCTAGTGGTACAGTAGTCTTTAGAAAAATCCACCACATAAATGATATTAGTTTCTAATAAAATTTTATAAAAATGAGCAACTATATTTCCCGGTAGTTACTGGCACAGGCTATCTCTTATATTTAGGTTCAAAACCTTTTTTCATGGGGTCACTATGAGTCATGGTGAACTCAACAATGTCTAACAGCAATGTGATTCTATGTTATATATAAAGATATTGTTAATATGTTATATATGTGGGAAGCTCTGTGGCTTTGTGGTAAGGAGATGTGTTGCCAATTCACCAACTCCTCTGTGGGAAAAAGATGGGCAAGTTGCTCCAGTGGGGTTTACTGCCTCTGAAAATCTGCTAGAGGATAAGCTATGAGTCAGTTTTGACGAAATGATGGATTACAATGATGGATTACAGTGACAGCAACAACAAAATTTTATGTATATATAGTCATGCAGATAAAATAATCTGGTAGTTGCTTTATGTTTAACTGAGAGAATAATACATACTTCCTATTGGTTGGTTTGGTTTTGGGGTGGTTTTTTTTTTTAATTTAGCTTTTTTTTTTTTTAAAAAAAAGCAACCAGCCAACTAACCAACCACCCAACCTTTTTTTTATATATAGTTTTACAGTGAAAGTTTACAGAACAAATTAGCTCAACAGTTCATTTATATCCTGTGACATTGATCACAATCCCCACTTTGTAATAGCGTACTTCCCACTACTTTCTGTTTCCATTCAACATTGCTTTCTTTCCCCTTCCTACCTTCTGAACTTGTTATTTTATGTGCCATCGAGTTTCCTGAGACTCATAGTGACCCATGTACAACAGCCCTACAATAGAACCCTGTTCTATCCTGTGCCAATCTTTTTGTCTCTGATGCACTCACCTCCATTACTCCAGTCACTGAATCAATCCATCTCATCAAGGATCTTCTTCTCCTGTTCTGTCCTTCCACCCTCCCGAGCATGACATCCCTCACCAAAGACCAGTCCCTCCTTGCAACATGTCCAAAGTATGTCAGATGAAGTTTCAGAATCCTTACCTCCAAGGAGCAGCCTGGTTTTTAACCCTCTCCAGGATGAACCTGTCTCTTCTCTTAGCAGTCCAGGGGATATTCAACACTCTTCTCCCATACCACAGCTCAAAGGCATCAAGTCTCCTTCTATCATCCCTAGTAATTGTCCAACTCTCTGATGCATAATAAGTGATTGCAAAGACCATGGATGTATCAGGTGCACCTTA